CCAAACCCCGCGTTTAGCCACTAAATACATGAAAATATTAATACTGAAAACAAATTGAGGCTGGTTCAGCTGGACTGCACATTGCTCCGAGCAGAATAATTTGACGCTAGCCGAGGAGGGACACCAGATATTTCTCGTTGTTGTTATTAAGTGTACTTCAGGCAACGGATTATCGAACAGTGCATTCCTATAATATATTGTCACGTGATGGAGTGACTGTAGACGGAGGTTGGTTTGGTAATTGGGTTTATTGAACACTTACAGATCGTAACTACAAGTAACTATAGCGCTATTGCTAATTCACGCACTCTGCAGTTCACTACATCAGTCAGTCTGCAGTGTCTTAACTAGTCGTTGTCTGGTAATGGCTTCCAACCCCGTAGATCCCTGAGCTTCCATGTTCACATTCTTACTGGACTGCGACTAACTCACAACTAACTTAAATTTAGTCTTCTTCTGCTATAACATCTGGGCACGCACCGCACAGACATCTCTCGCAACAGTTCTTCCAATATTGCTTCGCATAACTGTCGCATGGACCTCGCAGAAAAACCGGGCTTCGCAGTTACTCCATTAGTGTGTTTACAAATTTATTGCAGCTATTACCTAGCAACAGCCGTTTTTACATAATTATTATTTAGCAATGGTTCTACCTGCTGCAATATTAATAATTTCCTTGATAGATCGTTTTCTCCATGGTGTAGGTACTTCATCTTTCATGTTCTGCACTCTGTTCCGAGAGGTGGCTAAAAGTAGCCATATTTAATAAAATTCCAGCCTCCCACAATGCAGTACGGAGCAACTGCACCTCAGAGGCACAGTGTTGCATCATGATGTGTATACTATGGGTATATAATCCACTGTTTCCATCAAAACGTTATTCTAATCCTTGATCTTGTACGTTGGGTCACATGATTCGGGACATACACTTCGTTTTTATCTCTAAACTATCTGAACATATGCGTAAACTTTATGCTAAGAGATCTATATGTAATACATTAGAAGTATACCGCTTAATTTAAAGTCTAAGGGTGAGTTCATACTGCAGCCGTTACTACGCAACGACAGCGATATACGCTAAATATACTAGACTCGTTTGTAGGCAACGGCTCTGTAAACATGTTCCACAGAAACTAATCGATACGCAACAATAGAGGTACTGTTGGAAACGGGGTGTTTCTACGTGGTCCGTGTCGAGGAGTTATATTAAAGACAATTTGGAGCAATTAAATCAATTCTGTACAGGAGTCTGTGAAGTGATGATTTGAGCGCATGGAGCTGAAGAATCTCCACTGTTAGAAGCCGTTACCCAGAAATGTCCAGTAAAGTCACTGCAGGTTGGAGAAGACTTAGCGTGTAGTGATTTATAAAGTGTGGGAATTAGCGTTAGTGTTTTAGTTATTTGTCATCATGACCTGTAAGTGGTCAATAAATTCAATGTCCAATCAACACCCCGTCTATGTAGGTCCTAAAAGTGCCAAATGTATGTCGAAATATTCCTCTCACTTTGTTAAAACTCAGGAAAATAAAGCAGAATATTTGATTGAAAACTGCATGTATCTCTGTAGCGTAAATTTTCTGATAATGAAGTTAGAATGCGATAATTCACAGTAAGTACAGGAGGAATATTGACGCACCTGTATATGTTTGAATAGTTCCCCCTCTCACGCCCCGTGGGGACATGATTCGGCTTTTATCTTGGGCGTTATTAAGACTTGCTGCTGTGTCAGCCAGTTGCTTCTAGTCGCTGAGTTTCGTCAGCATTTCGTTCGCAGGCAATTCAACCTGTACGACCCTCGACTCCTGCATAATTAAATCGTCGTGGAGGGAGAGACCAGTTGAGTAACTAAAAACTTCACTTACTAATAAGCTTAATAGTTTTATTTTCTGTAATCGAAAGCCTTGTAGTCCGTTGGAAGTCAACCGACCTTTCGTAAGCAACATATCGCGTCAATTTTTAGGGTTGAAAAATAAGCCAAACAAGGACAACTACAAGGCGCTACATCCCATAAAATAGAAGTCTTCATAACCGTCAGTGTGGGGAACTGAAATCCTGCAAATAAAAGAGGTCCTTCATGAAAGCAAATGGTTGCTCAACTGAACAAGAATTTACTCTGTTACCGTGGAACACAGAAACTCGCCATTATATTCTGAACCCAATGCACATAAACACACACAGGGTTTCTGAGCAATATTCTGATGTTACCCTTCCATCTCTATCCAGTTCTCTCAAGTTGGTTCAGCCACTCAGGTTTCCACAAATGTGTCTATTTTATCCCTTTGTCTTCCCTTCTGCTGTCTAAAAACATAAAAATTTGAATATACAAAATTATAATTTTGCCTGTGGTTTTGTATGGGTGTAAAACTTGGTCTCTGACATTAGAAGAGGAAGATCGTTATTCAGATCATTATGCTGGCCGGTTATTACTAATTGGAAAGATAGAAAAATATTCAGAACGGTAAACTCAAAACTCCGAAGCTGAAAAACTTAAAGAGAATTATGCGGGCATATTGCATATTGCATATTGCATGATGCAAGTTTTAGGTTTAAGGTCCACATGGCGGGGACAATGAAGAATGTGGTCCTGTGGGTTATAACACGGAGTACTTCGGTCAGAGCCCAACGTTACGTAGGAATATATCATGCCAATCATCTGGGGGAAGAAGTAGGAAAATCAAGAACGGAAGTGAGGCAGACGGCAAGTTTATACTCAATTTGTTCGAGAGGTCAGTATCTTTCCAAACTGCACTGTTTAACAACCCAAAAGAGCGTATCCTTCAGAACTTGCTCTAACTACACTCTATTGTATTTTGTAAACTTAATAATAAACTATGCAGGATCTGAGATTCTGAGGCGGTGATTACAAAGTGTTCTATGTTCCCGGATAAAACTCCGTGTAGTCCGATGAAATTTAATCGACGTTTCGGAGGAACATGTCGCCTCCATCTTCAGAGTAGAATAATAAGCTAACCACCTCGAAGCTCCACGCTGTTTTCTTGTTGATTCATTCTTCTGCCCTAAAGAATGAGACATGTTCCTTCGAAACGTCGGTTGACTTTCAGCGAACTGCATATCTCAGAAAATAGATGTTCGGGCACATAAAACGTTTCGTGACCAGCTGAACATACTCCTCCTAATCGAGATGAGCAGTGCAACGTGAAGGTGTTTGACTTGTATGTATCCATAGGCCTAGGTTGAGCTGTAACGCCGGTGCATAAACTGGCTGTTGGTTTACAAAGGGAGCCTTTTGATAGGCACACTTCGCCCTGAAGGGGACTGTACACGTGTCACCAGGAAACAATGCTCTCCGTTGTGTTGTTACGTATATAAAAAGGGGCCTACACCGTGTGCCATGGTGGTTGCGTGTACGGCAGGCAAACCCGATACTTTTTCTGTCACCAGTGTGGCGGTTCCTTTGTTTTCGACTACTTCGTTAGATTAAAGCTACAGTCTACAGTGGAAAGTGGAGTTTGGCACAGGTTACATAGAATGAACATCAGTCGTCAAATCAGAGCTTACCTAAAAATAACGTCATTGAATCAGGAGATTGCCTTGCCGAACAAAGCGATCAATTGGCTAGGAATCCTGTTCCTTGCTCAAGGTTACCCGATTCGAGTCTTCATTCTGATTGCCGTGTTTAATAGGTCTCATCAGTCTCCCAAGACGAATGCTGGGATAGTAGCTACTCGTAAAATATCATAAACCACCTTATGCTTCCCAATTCATAACCTAAAGATCATCCTACCATTCTAAGCTATTTAATGAGTGAAACTGATAAACCGATATTTAATAATATACCAAGAATCTTGAAGTTCGTATTGTCACGTGTTTGGGTTTAGATTGGTGAATGGATGTAACTACAAGCTTTCAGAGGGCAACTGCTAATCTCCACAATTCACAAACCACCATAGCATTCGCTAAGTCTATTACAACCAGCTGGGCTTTCACCAGCCTCTCCCTAGTAACGGCTTCTAACAGTGGAAATTCTTCAGGATGTCTCCACAATCTCCCTCGCAGAACTGCCTCCCATACCTAATCCAAATGAAATTGTTGCTCCAGCTGTCCTGATTATAACTTCTCGACACGGGCCACACAGAAAACACTGTTCTTCTATTGTTGCTTGAGTGTACGTTCCAAGCGTTACATAGTAACGGCCGCTGTTCATAGAGTCACTGCGTTTGCGTAAATTTCAGTCTCATATTTTGGTGATTGGGGTTATTCCTGGAATATAAAAAACAGGGGGTTAACAAAATTGATAAAAAGAAGCCAGAACGTTGAATAAAAATGAGCAGATGCAGGTTCAGGTAACTGGATCATGTTTGGAGTTAAAATTTCAGACAGAGGAGGTGCGAAAACTGAAAGAATAGAGAGAAATTGACACTTGTCATGAAGAAAGGAAAGATTCTTAAAGAACAGCAGAGGCAGTATAATGTAGCTGTAACGTAGCTGTACAAGTTTCTAAGAACGAGAAACACCAGAGGCAAATAAACTTGTTAGCAGGCAGTGACAGGTTCTGTTGTACATTAACGAGTAGAGCTATTGTCTCTGTATACTCGTATATTTTTATTTGGGGCACGCGGTAGCGTAGTGGTTAAGGCACTATACTACAAGTCGGAAGGTTCGCGGGTTCAAATACCGATGAGGTCACTGGATTTTTTTCAATTGACGTAATCCTTCCGGTCGCACTATGGCCCTAACAGAAATGAGTAAATAAATAATTAAATAAATAATTTTCCTGGGGAGTAAAGCGCGGCCGGCGCCTAAGGCTGACAACCTTACCGCCATCTTTGAGCCGATTGTCTAGATAATGTGGGACCCCCAACGTCTCACAACCCTATGGGCCTTCACGGCCTGGTACAGGGATAGCTTTACTTTACTTTATACATTTATTTGCGAGATAGAATTGATCGTTAGAATTGATGGCACGTCATAGTGACTCAGAACATTTGTAGGAATGTTCATGAAATTTTCTGTGTCGATAAGTCTGTTCTCATTCCAGATACCTGTGGTTTGCAACACGACCCCGCCTCCTCATTTGTGAGGGGTGATGCGATCGACCACAAACCCTCCTCCCCTTCGCTCGGGTGATGGAGTTGTTAAACGCTGAAATTGAGAGGTGAGCGATGCGGCAATATACATAGAATACAAAGCATTCAATTACGAAAGAGAAACAAAGACGACATTAAGTCTAGTTATATAATAGTTCTTTGATCGTAAAAAGTAGATAAGTGAAATGGGATAAAGCGGAATATACGAACAAATTAAAAAAACTAATTCCCTCCGAATAATGTGCTGCTTTCTCGAGGAATGGTTTCATTATACGTATGCATCGTGGGAGCAAATGACTGGTCTGTAGGACATACTATAGCCGCGTTATTAAGGGAGCAAATTGATTAGCTTTATGTGAGTTTTGACGTCACTTGTTTTTGTAATACCTTCAGAAACGCAGCAAAATAATTCGTTTGTGAAACACGATTTTATATTGAGACGTGTAGACCCGCGAGATAGACGACTGTAGAAAAGTCGTTGCTAGGCAGCGGGCCGCAGACAACAGAGGAATTGTGTTCTCTGTACGGTATGCTAAGCAACAGTTGGATGCAACAATAATGGGTTCAGCCAACAGACACGGACCCAACAGTGGTACGCAACAGAAGAACGAGATTGGCTAGCATACATAAGGGGGGGTAGTCATACACACAGGCTGGTGAGAGGGACTTACGAAGTAGATCGTTGAGATGGGTTTAGATGCCGTGGTGTATGTACGAAGTTTTATAAGGAATGATTCGGATATTCAAAAGCTGTTGAGGGCAATACGCAGACACAGAAATAATCTGGATCACATAAAAAAAAACTCCATGGTTTTACTCCGTAAGCGAACTATATCGAACGAGGAACCGCCAATTGTCGGCGAAGTCAGTACCAACTTTATCAGAGAGAGGGCGTGGCAAGCGCAAGGAATCCCCACGGCCGTTAATCTCGGGTGTCTAGACCGGAACCGATATTTCCTTGAAATAGCTCCTCAATTATCCTCACGAGGCGGAGTGAACCCCGTTCCAGACCTACTACTTCTCAGAAAATCTGGTAGAGCAGGGAATTGAATCCGGATCTCTAGATCTGTAGCCACAGATCTGGACCACAGAGGCGGTCCGGGATTTTTCAAAATAAGGGAAATAGGCTATTAACAATGTTTTCGTCAGCATTCCTTAGGACAGGCCAGTTAGTTACAGAGACAGATAAAGAAACAGCTGATGTTGAGACATATGGGCAGATCCGTTTGTTGAGTCAGAGGAAAGAGCAGAAACATGGAACCTTGTATAACATTTCCCATAAACGTAAACTTTAATACATGGCCCTAATGAGCACGCAAATGAATGACAAAAAATGTAACATGGGTTCAGTTTCCGTCCGTGTTATACCAGTGCGGTCAAATTAAGCTGACACATGTCCGGTATTTTTCAGTCGTCTCTTTTTTGTTTCAGGAACTAAATGTTGTGGAAGGCGGCTCTGCTTGCTCCACAGAGTAAATGTGTAAAACCTACTGCAATGTGTCCTTTGCGTTGAGCAGATCTCTTTTCCCTGGGAACGGCGGCCTAATGGACCGAAACATTATGTTTGTTAACCAAATATGAGGCGATGGGGAATACCCTGAATTACGCATGGCGACAGTTTACAGGGCTGCCAAATTGGTTAATACGGAATGTCGTTCATACCATCGATTTAGTACATAAACAGCATCAGGTTTATTTAAAAGGCAAAGTATGTAAGGTGTCTGTTACGTGGGCGGTCTGCATGACACAAAATAAAATTGCGGCAATCCTGAAACCACTAGGAAGAAACCGAAGACATTACATACGATAAAGAGTTAGGATAGCGACGGTCTAGAGGCAGGAAGGCCTCGGTTTGATCCCCGGAAGTACAAATTTTTTCTCTACTCCACATCGTGCAGACTGCATCTGGGGCCCACACAGCATCCTATGTGATGGATACCTGCGGGGTAAAACGGCCGAGGCACGAAGCTGACAACTCACCTTGTTCCCACACTTTAAGGGATCCATTCCTTGGTTCAAATCCAAGTCGAATCTGAGTATATTTGTTTTGAAAAACTTTCAAGAAATGTTAGAAGCAAGCCGAATCGGTTCTGTTTGTTAGAAGCAAAATGCAGGCCATGAACTGCTCTAGTTATGGGCTAACGTTGTTTATCTCTCTTTGGGTTTCAGGGCTTGTTTTCGCGTGCTACTTATAAGCTGGCTTGGAGGATGCCGTCCATAACAGAAGGAAGGGAACAGTAACCGTCGAATTCACGCCAACCATTTCTCCTGCAAGATGAGTCTTCAAAGAAATTCCAAGGGGAAGTGACAGAAAAAGGACTTTGGAAATAGCCGCGTACTCTTACCCTGATGATGAATGCAATACTTTTTTTCGAAACATAAGTGAACCCTTACCATAACACACGACGTAGCATAACAGAAGACAATAATCTTCATTCTGCATATATCAGATCCCCATTCTGAATTTAAAGTAAGGGGAATCAAACAAGTGGCTATGCATAACAATCAGTATGCCAGCTACTCACAGTCCTGTCGAGTCTTCACTGAGCTGCACTATCTGTTAAACACAGGAAACATAAACTCTGATTATGTTATTTCAGATCCTTAAGCAGTGGCAATAAGTACATATCTTTAGAGGTGCTTGAAAGTTGTTTTATGTACCATGAAATCTCATACGACTTAACGTATTCCACTTTAAATCTATTTGCTTCAGAGTGACAAACATAACATTCCAGCATTTCCCTCTTGGTAGATAAAATTATCATACTGATTAAAGATATAGACAAGACACTTCAAACTTAGTTAAACGCTGAAATTTACAGAGACAGTGTGTGTGGGGGGGTGTCACACTGACAGTAAATGGAATCAGACTTCTCCACTTTCTGAAGGTAGAATGCTGAGTCTTTCATCTCGAACTTCAAACATAATATAAGTCAGCCTTCACTCAGTCGGCTAATCTGCAATTCAGAATCTCCCTTTAAGAGAAGTCGTGATGAGATGACGTCAGTCAGAGCAGAGACTGAGACAGTAACAAGAGAGGCTCTCCGGTTCAAATGGCGTTCAAAGATCTCACCGCACCGCAGACTTCTGACTTCTCAGTGGCAGAAATCAGGTGCTCTGTGAGATGTCTGCAGGCCATCTCGGGTCGTATTTAAGTGCCTCATGAAAGGAAAATAGTCTTGTGGGCGGATTTCTATAGTGGAGCGAATGCAGGCTTGAATCGGCAACACTTACTTCATGTGAGGAATTGAGACATCTTAACTCCTTGACTTATGATCCATGACTGCATAGCGTTTGCTCTACTAGTGGTTGCGTTCGTTGGCTGGGAACGTCTTTTGTATAAAACACTGCATGTGAATATTGTTTGACTTTGACTTTGACTTGTTTGACATTCTAGTGAGAGTTGTGAGAAAGGACAGACTGTGAAACGACTTGTTCAACATTATGTGTTATAGTTACGTTGAATTGTAGTTACGTCGTTGAGTAATAAAATTACGTCGCAAGAATACGTCTCGAGGTCTTATTTCACGACACTTCGTGACTCAGAGCTCTACTTAAATATTTCGTCAATAAAATGTATCTAATTTAGGCAACCCGGAGATTTATTGTTATACTAAAAACAGAAGTACGCCATTTGACATCACCATGCTCCAACTTAAATCTAGTCCACCTCATATCTTGTTGTTATTCGACGATCTAATTTAATATTATCCCCCTTTCTGGGACTAGATTTACGAAGGTGCCTCTGGCTTTGAAGTTTGCATCTAAATTATACGTACATATATATGCATTTTAACCTCTACTATGGACCTACAGCAGAACACAGTGTCCGCGCGTTCTAAGGAACGAAACTTCTTCCCTCGCACTAACACTGGGGTCATAGATTCAAATTTCATTGCGTGTTTGCGTTTATCCTGTGTTTATGTTAGGTACTGGCCTTGTGACGGGCTGGTCCTCCGTCCAAAGAGTCCTACCGATTAAGATTAAGAAACCGAAGAGAAACAGGCGTTTCACGGATGTCCATGCTCCAAATGGGATCAACGGGAAAAAGGAGGAGGAAGAAGAATAAGAAGAATAAGATAGACCTACGTCCTTCATGCTACATACTCCACCATTTTAATTATCCTTGATTTTATGGTTCTGGACTGACTGGGCCCAAATATTCTTATCAGTGCTCCACACTCTTACGCCTTCAGCCTTAACGTTCCGTTACAGAGATGGACCAGTTTCGTATCCGTATGAAGAGCAGTTAAAAATTAAAAATATTCTGTATACGAGTATATATATATATATATATATATATATATATATATATNCGGAGCAAGGAGGCCCAAACTGTAACGCTCTTGGCACATTCAGGAAGAGGCAGGTTCAAATCTTGTCCATATTACTGACTATCATCATTGGTATTTACGTGGTTTTCCTTTATCTCTCCTTGCAAATGGTGACATAGTTGCTTAAATTCTGTCACATTCACTTTCTTTAAAATTCTTTTAAATTCATCATCAACCAATCATTCTGAGCTATATATTGAGAGTCCATGATGTCTTTGTTAAATAACCCAACAATTTATTCAGGGTGTTGCATTTTGCCATATTGTAAATTGAACAGAATCCAGCATGTCCTTATTTGATAGTTTTGCTAAAAACAGTTACTGTCGGTCCACGCACTGCAACTTTGCCGAATTCAGAAATTTCCAGTTAACCAACTCACCCACTCAAGGAGCTGAGTCCTTCCTGAAAAACTGCCAGTTGCTCAGACACTCCTGCATATCCCAACAGTTTATGGAAATCTAATGTTCATTGCCATGTTCACAAGAGAGATCGCCAGAGGACTGAGAGCTAAATGTATACTGGTACAGCCACTACAGTGTTGTTTTATAACATGTAGAAAGTTATTTATGTATATATACCGACAGACGCAGTGCTTCTCGGTACAAGTAACACATCCTAGTAGGATTAATTTTTCACATTCATTTCTGTTCATCAAATTTCTTGCTCCCAGGTGTCCAGTCCCCATTGCTGTCTTTACACTTTCGTCTTACATATTTCTTCGTCTTCCTCTTCTTTTATTTTCCATGGGTACCCAATTCAGAATCATTTTTCTTAACCTCCATCTGTATCCTTTTGGATGTGACTACGAGAAAGTAATCATTTATTTATGTGTTATATGTAGTATATGGCGTTCACTCTACTCTCGCAATTTCTCATTTTTACGTCCCTAACTTCTTCCCTCCTGGTTAGGTTAGTCGATGCCTTCAGAAAATAAATTACAGTTTCCAGATGTGTATTCATGTCCTTCGTTAGTATCTGCCACACTTCCAGTTCATATATTAAAATACTTTGTCACTTTTTATGTCTCCAAAAATTATTGTTATATTTTTATTATGTCGGATTAAAGTTATTTTCAACATTATCGTTGCCGATTCTGTCATTTTTTGTACTACTAAATACATATATTTTTGGCACATCTGTGCCACTTCTCCATTTTCTAAATAAATGCATCCTTTCCAATTTACGAGTAGGTTATCTTTTCATATTTATCGTAATCCACCATTTCTCATAATGGCTGTAGCGTTGTTGGTTGAGGCACAGCTACAAGCCGGAAGGTCGCGGTTTAGATTAACGGTGAGGTCACTGGATTTTTCAATTGGCCTCATA